CACACACACACACACACACACACACACACACACACACAGAGAGAGAGAGGAGAGAGAGAGAGAGAGAAACCCTTGAGATGGCTAGAGTATAGAGGGAGTCCCAGCGGAGCTCTTGTGATGCTCCTACACACCCGGAGCGAAATAGCACCAGGGAGAAGCAAGGGCAGGAAGGAGATGCCACAGTCTAATCGCTTATTCATCAGCTCAGCGCTACCTCCGGTTCCCCCAGCTTGACAGAGGCTGATCTGGAGCTGAACAGCACTCCAACCAACCTCCTTCTCATAGCTTGTCTGCAGGAGAGTTGTGAGATCTCTCTCTCTCTCTCCCCGCTCCCCCATTTTTTTTCTTTCTTCAATTATGATGACAATTGTATTGACTTTTCTCGAAAGCTGTCCACCAACGCTCGTTTGGTCCTTTTCCCTCTAGCTGAGGACGCCGAGTGAATGAAGGGGAGCCAGTCCCGCGCACCTGAATATTGGGAAATGCAAAGGTGGGTGGGAAGGTGGAGAGAGGATTAACAACTAATCTGCCGGATCCAAGCTGGGTGGGGGAAAGCCATGAACAAGGTAGGTGTCCTTCTGTAGGTCTAGGAGCAGAATGAAAGCGACGACACCAGGTGAACTGGAGACGCTCCAGAAGTTGCCTCTGTCTTTTGAGGGCACGTGGGCTGAGGAGCGAGGGCACTTACTCGAAAGTAAGCCCCGCTGAGCACACAGGAGGGAGCTAATTCCGAGTAAAGTTGCACAGGACCACGAGTTCAAAAACCGGGAGCCTGCTCATTTAGGATGGAGTCGACCCATCCCCAAGAAACCCATGGAATGAAGAGTCTCATCCCTACATAAGAAGCCGCCTTATAGCGCGCCAGATATTTGCTCCATCTAGGTAGAGCTCAGCTGGTAGAGCATAAGACTCTTAATCTCAGGGACGTGAGTTCGAGTCCCGAGTTGGGCGAAAGATTCTTGCCTTGCAGGGCGTTGGATTAGATGATCCTAGTGGTCCCTACAATTCTATGATTCTATTGCATACGTTATGGCGAGCCAGGGTTTCAGGCAGAAGCTCCGACCTGGAGATCACAGAGACTGACCTGGGACCTTCTGCATGAAAAACAGCTGCTCTAGCCCTTCTCCGTAGTCCATTTGTTGGGAAGTGAGCGCCAGTAAATGCATTGAGATTTTACTCCGAGGAAGTAACTTTAGGACCCCGGTCTTAAGCATCCTAACCCTTGCGCAAGATTGCAAGGAAGGAGATGCGCAGCGGGATCCTAAGTGCCTCTTGGTTCATCCAGTGGACTTTCTCCCTTAGAAAGCACACTGCAGGCTCGACCCTGCTTACTCGGAAGTAAGTCACACTTACTCCATAATAAGAAACACAATCCTTGCGCGCTTTAACCTCAGGATCCACCGAGAAGTTATCCTGCGCAAGACCCATGGAAATAAACGAGAGGCGCGCAATAGCACGCTCTCTCTCCCGACCCAGACCCGTCACCAGAATCTTTCTGATCCCTGCTGTCGCTCACAAAACGTTTCAATATACTTTTACTTTGTATTAAATGCTTCCGAGAGAGCGGCAGCTGGAGACGCGCAGTTTTGAAAATTCCATTGATTCCAAATCTTCATTTAACCATTGCTAAGGCTGTGATCCTACGCATACCTTCACCAGGAGGCAAGTCCTCTAGAGCTCAGCGCAACTAATATTTGAGAAACCATGGGCAAGAGAGGGAGGCACGTCTCATTGAGTTCCAGGGGCGAGACTGGCAGTGCAGTCCTATGCACGTCTACTCAGAAGTTCCCAGCTGATTTCAGTTGGGCTTACTCTTAGGAAAGTGGGTAATGGATTGTAGCCTTAAGCACATAGGTGTACATTAATGGCAGTGGCTTTTTAAAAAAAAATTAAAGTGCTTCCCTTTTGATTGGATCTGGCCAGCCTGCCTTCGTCTTTTTCTATAGTATTTGGGTAGGTGGCAGGAATATATGATTTCAAGCGGATTTCTTGCGGGAGACGGAAGTTGTGTTTCCAGAATGACTCCTATAACTTTATTGTTGAAGCCAGGAATTAAAGCTCCTATATGGGCCCATCTGACAGTCACGTGCATTATTATTAGAAGTTCCACCGAATTCAATGGAATTTTGCTCAATAAGCACGCTTAGGACTGGCACCCCGGGTCTTTACACAAACAAACAACGAAGCCAAGACGTACGGTTCCCCTGAACGCCATTTATTCAGGCGGCACAACCAGTGTAGCAGTTTCAGACTAAAACATGGTACGGTATATTGCATTTATCAGAGTAGCAGCACAACAGAAAATAAATAAATGGTTACAGATTTCTGTCCCCCTCGCTGAGAGGAGAAATAATACGACGTGATTTCCATTGCTGGCATTAAATATGAAACCGACAGTTTCCACACAGGTACCTATATATATTTATAAAAATGTACAATATTTATTGAGACCCCGGATGTGCATTTGGCAACTTACTTTTTTTCTCCCTTACAATTTTAAGAAGTGTTGCAAGGTGTTTCTATGAGAATTTATGCAGGACAGAGTGACTGGCACCTGTTTCCCTCGAGCTACAAAATCCAGGGGATGATTCACAAAGGAGGAGCAGACCCTCACAAGCCCAACACCACAGACATAATTTTCAGACCACCTCAAAAACACAACGCTTTCTCGGCGGAGTCAGTTCACACATTCAAGTCATCAAGTGTGCCGCAGTCAAGTGTAAGGAAAAAGAAAGAAAAAGAAAACCCATGTAATTGTGTGAAACGCTTCCAAGGGATAGCATTACCCCCGTGTATGTGGCAAACTTAGTGATGTACATGCATGTGTGAACCAGCCGAAAGTCACACACAAACATTGCGAGAAAAACCTCTTGGCACAACAGGCTTTTGTCAGGGAGTTTTGGACGTGTGCCCTTCCCTCTTTTAACAGGAAAAGACCATCACAGATCTCTGCAAATGCACCGTTCATGTTAGGATAGTTATTTGGAGCTTTCATCTTGACAGGGTGTTTGAGGTAATACCTTTGAGAGAGGAGGAGGAGGAGGAGGAGGAGGAGGAGGAGGAGGAGGAGGAGAAGAAGAAGAAGAAGAAGAAGAAGAAGAAGAAGAAGAAGAAGAAGAAGAAGAAGAAGAAGAAAAAGAAGAAAGCCATCACATCAAGACAAAGGTTAAAGTAGTATATTGGCACATTGGGGTATAACAGCCAAGATGCTCTCCATAACTCCCTCTTGGGGTACTCCGCCCACCCTCTAAGTATAGTCATAGTCTGAAGAGTCCTCTTCAGACGCCCCTCTGAAGTCTCTATGGAAAGAGTCTACGCTATTCTCTTCAGCGCCCCCTACCGGGTGGAGGTGTTTGCCCTTGCCTTTGCGTTCTTCCATCTTAATAGTGTCGTAGAGTCCCTTGGGCCCCTCCTCCAGGAGAATGTTCCTCTCAGAGTGCGAGGGCTTCATCTGGCAAATGTTTTTGAGGGCCAGGAGGATGGGGGCGTAAAGCACGTTGGCCAGGCCCATGCCCAGGTTGAGTTGCACAAAGCCAAAGGAGTGGACGATCTCCCCGGCCACAATAGGCCCCAGGGCGTATGCCACCGAGTAGGAGATGTCGGCGATGGCATAGACGCTGCCATAGACCGACACGTAGCGGACGTCAACCAGGAAGGCGAGGGTGGGAAGCAGGGCGGTGTCCACCAGGGCAATGCCGAAGCAGATGCCACACAGAGGGACGGTAAGCTGCCAGAAGTTCCGGCAGGCGGGCACCATGCAGGAAGAGGCCCCTATGGTGGCCAGGCCCAGCGCCCCATAGAACCACTGGAGGTGGGGGTACTTGTCTGCCAGCTTGACGGTGACATAGACGCCCAGCACGTGGGGGATGAAGGCCGGCAGCCAGGTGAGGCCCATCTCCCACTCGTTGGCGTCCATGGTCTTCTTCATCCAGTTGGAGATGGTGGGCTCCAGGAAAGCCAAGGGGATGTTGCACGTGGTGAGGGCCCCGGCGACCACCACGATGTAGGGGTCTATCATGAGCTTGTAGATGGGCGTGCCCACGGGCATGTTGTCCCGAGACCTGTCGCTGAAAGGCTTGATGGCCAACAGAAGGAGCAGGCCGTCCAGGAGCGAGATGAAGGCCAGGACCAGGAAGGGCACCCTCTTGCCCGCGAAGTAGTACAGGATGCCTCCGAAAGGGGGCGCCACCAGGCTGCCGAAGGAGATGAAGGCGAGCGCGATCCCCAGCGCGCGGTTGCGCTCCGACTCCTCCGTGTACTTGTCGGCGATGAGCGCGATTCCCGACGTGTCGGCAAACGCCGAGCCCAGGCCCTGCAGGCTGCGCGCCGCGAATAGGGTGCCGTAGTTCTCGGCGAAGGCGAAGATGATGGTGGACAGGAACATGACGCCCAGGCCGATGAGCAGAGGGATGGTGTAGCCCACGCGGTCGATGAACGTGCCGCTCAGCGGGTTGACCAGCAGCTGCAAGATGGCCTTGGAGGCGAACAGCACCCCGATCCGGATGTCGTCGCTGTCGGCCGGGTAGCGAGGCCTCAGCATGGGCCGGGTGCTGTTGAGGGACCAGCCCAGGCCACCACCAGTCGTGGAGATGTTGGAGGCAGCGGTGGCCGGGACGGGCGCCTGTTGCTGCTGCTGCTGCGCTCCCTGCTGGCGTTCCTCGGCGACGTTGAGGGCGGCCACGAAGTCCGGGACGATGGGCACGATCACCATGTACAGCATGTTGTCCAACAGCAGCGCCACGCACACGATGACCAGCAGGAGGCGCCGCTGGCGGTTGGCCTCATGTAGGGCGCTGCTCAGGGCTTTCGTGCGCTGGCCCACCGCCTCCGACAGTTTCTCCACCGCCGAGCGGGGCCCCGACGGGGCGGAGGCCTCCTCCTCCATCCTCCGCAGCCGCTGGGAGTCCAGGGAAAGGAGAAGCAGCCGCAGGAGGCGTTAGCTGGGCATGGGGCGAGGGGAGCAGAGGAGCCCTGCTGGGATGGGAGGAGGTGGCGGCAAGAGGAGCCTCGTCTGTCCCACCAGTCTCTGTCTCTCTTATCTATCTCTTCCTTCCTTCCTCCCTTCACTTCTCCGTGCCTTTCAACCCCCTCTTTCCCCAGATCTCATTCCCCAGGGTCTAACAAGGCTTCCTTCTCCTGTCTTACCCTGCTTCCCTCCTTTCTCCAGAACGAACTTTCTTTCTTTTCTCTTTCTCCCTCCCTCCTCCACTTCCCCAGGAGGCTCGGCCGCCTCCCTTCACTCCTCGCCTTCCCCGTTCTTAAACGCAGCCCTCCTTCCACGACGCCACCCCTGGCTTCCCGGCTTTCCTTCCAGAGGCCCCCTCACCTGCCCCTGCTCCCCCCACCCACAAGCCTTTCCTACCGGCTCCTCTCCTTCCGGTGTTCCGCGGAGCCAGACGCGCTCCTCGGTGGCTCGACTTCCAGACGGAGCCCTCCCTCCTCCCTCTCTCCGTCTGTCTTTCCCCTCCTCCTCCTCCTATCCGTCTCCCTCGGACCTCACTCGCCTGCTCGCCCGGAATCCTGAGCCTCTCTCTTCTTTCGCCCTCTCGTCTTTCTGGCTCACGCACACTCTTTCTGGTCAAGCGGCGCTCCGTGGCTGCGCTCTTTGAGTGCTGTCAGTCTTTCTTAGGAGGCATCCGAGGGCGCGTCCTCTTGCGCTTGCCTTCGCCTTTCCCCCCCTGGCCAAGGCTTGGTGAGGTGGCAGGAGCCGAGGGTTGCCCATCAATCTGGAGAGTGGAGGGCAAGGATCTCTCTCTCTCTCTCTCTCTCTCTCTCTCTCTCTCTCTCTCTCTCTCTCTCTCTCTCTCTCTCTCCTCTAGCCCCCTTGCTTCTCCTTCCAGCTCAGGGACTCTTGGAGAGCTCAGACCGTCCCTTCCTCAACTCCATCCTTGGCTGCCTCCAAGCGCTCTCTCTTTGCCTTCCTTGACGGAGAAGCCTGCCTCTTGGTGCCGCCGGCGCGGATGGACTTGCCAGCTCTTACTTTTTCCTTTCCCTCCGCCCCGCCTCTCCAAAAAAGCCGGCTCCCCCCACCCTCACGCACTCACACACTGGCCTCCCACCCCGCGCAAGTTGTGACGCACAGTTCAGCTCCGGTCCCCGAGTGGTTCCTTCGCCAGCTGCGTTTCTTTATGCTAATTTAACACATGGAGGAGTCTTAGCCAATTGCTAAGCGGGGAGTCCGCACCCCGGAGCAGACCCCCCTCGGAAGGAGAGAGAGAGAGCCGGCCCGGTGTGTATGTGTGAGAGAGAGAAAGAGGGAGAGAGGGAGAGAGAGAGAGGGGACGCGTGTGTTGAGTGCAGCGCTGCTGCGCCGCTCGGCAGAGAAGAGTGCCAAGTCTGCTGGAGCTGGAAAGGGCTTAAAACCCCCCGGAGAAAGTCGCAATCCGCTCAAGTCCGCGCAGTCGAGTGTAGCGGCCACCAATCAGGCTAGCGGAGTGGAGCCTCCAAGCTCAGAAACAGTCTACCGCGGAGGACTCGAAAGGCAAGGAAAGGAGAGGGTCGAGTGCGTTTACTGAAGCGCTTCTCAGACGCATTGGACTGGGTTCCTGCTGGAAACGGGATGTGGGGCGAGGAGGAGCCCTTGTTCTGAGCCAGCCAGGACACACTCCCTGCCCGCCCCCCACCTCCTGCTTTAGCAGAAACAGATTCAGCTCTGAAGAGGAGCTGAGAATCTGACAACCCCAGGAGGATAATTTCCAGTTTCCCTGAGATGATTTCTGACTCACTGGGGGGAAAGGGGCAGGCAGGTGGGTGGGTGGGAAGAGAAGGGGATTCACCGTCTCCACGGGCACTATTGGCCGAGTCGGGACAAAGGGAACATTCAGACAGGGCTGGATTAAGGCTCAGTCTTGGAGTCCCGGTCCCAGAGGCTTAGGTTTAACAGAAAGCAAAGTGATTTTCAGCATATGCAGACAGCATATGCAGAGAGCACAACTGTGATTTACTGGCTGGCTCAAGCTCAAGATGTGAGACTTTCCGTTTTTAGATACCAAGCCTTGCATAACACCTAGAGAAAACTCTTTACAGACCCTACAGAAAAGATCCCCTTGCATTATCTTCTATTCCCGCTCCCCATACAAAAGAACCGCTGCCACCACATTATTATAGAATTCAAATGCCTTGATTGTGTAATGAACAGCAACACGAAAATGCCTTTTTTATAATGATGGAAGCAAACCGGACTTACTTCTGAGTAAACGTGCTGGTAAAGTGCTCTATGAATGTCTTAAACCCACCGCTGCCGCCAACTTCTCTCCAACTTACTAACTCAAAGCAGGGCTGTTGGCTAACCAGGTAATAACATGGCAATAGCCGGTTGCTGCTTCAGAGCCCGTCTTTCACCTGCATTCAGACTGGATGAAGGTTCAACATGGCAGTGAGCTTATACCCTGCTCTGTTGAGCTCATGGTGGCTGCAGTAGGATGGGTGCGTATATTGATTAGGAGTTATTCTATCCAAGCCACTGATGGTAGCAAAGGTTGATAACAATAACTACGGGCTAAACAGCACCGCACAATCACCCCCTTTACTCTCATTGGAGAGAACACTTCGCACAGCCAATTTTCACCGACTATTTAGGTTGAAGGATGACAGCTTGTTTTCATTCACAAGCAAAAGGTGTAATTTTTTTTTTTAGTAAAGAGCAAGATCAAAATCCTGGGGAAGGTCTTGAAAGGCAAAGCCGAGACAGCCAGAACCATCAGTGGGGAGAGCAGGACAGCTCAAGCCCCCAACGGCTGTGAGGTTTCAATTGCTGTCTAGTCAGCTGAGGAAGAACGACATTACATTGCATCCTCCCCTTGCAATCTATTGACACTGCTTATGTACATATATTAACTTAGCTGAGCCTACCTCACAAGGCTGTTGTGAATATAAAAGGGAAGGAAGGGAGGCGAGGGAAACACACATAACCTGGAACTCCTGGGTAGAAAAGCAAGATACAAACATATGTGTCAGGCTCGGGGATTTTCTATGCCTTCCGCGGTGGCAGCAAAAAGCAGAGGAAAAAAACAAAGAAGAGTTCTTACTAATGAGTTTATTCAATCCTCATAGTGAGAGACAAAGGAATGGTCAGTCTCCCGTTAATGGTGTTGCTCCAACTTAGCTCCTCCCCTTCCCTTCCTAGCAACAGCACTTCCTCTTAGCACCATGGACTAATTGTCTCTGAGCCTTTTTGCTCTTGCACTCTCAACAAACACCGGATTATGGGAGAAGGGGGGGGTCCAGAAATACTCTCCAGTGACAATGTGTCAGCCGGCTCTGCCTCCTCCTTATCTTCTCCCAACACCTCCCAACTCTTCTGTTTGCCTGTCTCTGAGCTGTGACCTTCCTCAAACCACTTCTGTAATTCAATACAGTGGTACCTTGGTTTTCAAATGCCTTGGTTCCCGAAAACCGGGAAGTAAGTGTTCTGGTTTTCAAACGTTGTTTGGAAGCTGAACATCCGAAATGGCTGTTGGCTATTGTTTCCGGGGCACCTGCACCAATCAGAAGCTGCACCTTGGTTTTTGAACATTTCGGAAGTCAAATGGTGCTTTTGTTTTTGTTATTTATTTTGCATTTTTGTTTTTGAGGCTTTTTTGGTTAATTTGTTTTTGTGACTGTGGAACCCAGTTCAGCTACTGATTGATTGATTGTGTGACTGCAGAAATGGATAAAAGCCACCCCCATCCAAACAATGACTATCATCAGTGCATGTAAGGGAAAAAAAGTAATTTTAATTTTTATCATCTACAGTACTGTTTTATTTATTTTATAGTACAGTACATTGATTATTGTTTTCATTTTATGGATCAATGGTCTGGTTAGAGAGTAAAATTCATGTTAAATTGCTGTTTTAGGGGTTGTTTTTAAAAGTCTGGAACGGATTAATCCGTTTTGCATTACTGTCTATGGGAAAGCATGCCTTGGTTTTGGAACGCTTTGGTTTTGAAATGGACTTCCGGAACGGATTCAGTTTGAGAACCAAGGTACCACTGTACTGCCTTCCTCTTCTCTGAGCACTTCAGGGAGAGAAGGGGGGCAATCTCCACCATTCCTCCTCAGTCTCAGCCCCTTCAGTCCAGTCCCTGCCAACAACACATAGTTAAACTATGGAATACACTCCTGTGGGAGGCAGTGATGGCCACCAATTTGGGTGGCTTTAAAAGAGGATTAGACAATTAAATTATCAGTGTTTGCTAGCCCCTGCATGCAAAGACAGGCTCTCTGGTGGATTGAGTGGACTAGACCAATAGTGGGTCCAATGGTCAAGAAGCACATGTTGTAGAGGGAAGTGAGGGGCAGATGGGGTCATCAGGTTGGGAAGGTAGCCCACCCGGGAGAAGGAAAACTCTCATCCTAAGACTTCATTGCCTTACAGGATATCTTCGAGATAAATAAAGGCTAAAGAGTGAAATCCTAAGGCAGTTGGGTGGAGCCTTGTACTCCTCCTTCCAGCGACTCCTGCAGACAAGCTGCTGCCAAACGTATTGCTCTGCTTTCCTTTGGTCCACATCAGCGAGGCCAAGAGGGGGGTCTTGATGTTTGGGCAGCCCAGGACCCCCATACACACTGCCCAGACTTGTGCCCCAGGAAGGTCATTTCAGTAATACTACTGCAGCGGTTTGACTTTATTAGTGCAACTTCTGTTAGCATGTGTTAGAGAGTGCAAGCTTTCAAGTTTCGCAAAACTCTTCATCAATCTGAATGATTCCCATCAATAAAGAAACAAAATCAGATTGAATATATGGGACATTGTTGTTGTTTAGTTGTTTACTCGTGTACGACCCCATGGACCAGAACACGCCAGGCACTTCTGTCTTCCACTGCCTCCCGCAGTTTGGTCAAACTCATGCTGGTAGCTTCGAGAACACTATCCAACCATCTCGTCCTCTGTCGTCCCCTTCTCCTTGTGCCCTCCATCTTTCCCAACATCAGGGTCTTTTCCAGGGAGTCTTCTCTTCTCATGAGGTGGCCAAAGTGTTGGAGCCTCAGCTTCACGATATGGGACATTAGTTCCCCCCAAACTTAAAGGCAGCTGGATACAATGATCCTTGTACATACACATTCATTGTTTTGTTCTCCATCAGTGGTCTCTGGCCAAACAAATTTTGCAGGTTTTTGAACCACTGCAACCTCCTGTGAGATCTAACAGAACAGAGACTAGCAATGCACATTCACTTAGCAGCAAGTTCCACAGACTTTTGTCAGATTTTAAACAATGATTATAAAATCTTCACAGTTGTTTTGCCTCCAGACTTAAAACAACCCTACAAGAGTTGATACACAGAGACCAAACTGGATTTCTACCGGGATGCAAAATGCAGGAAAACATTAGACATGTCATTAACGTATTAGAGTATTTGGAACTTAAAATAGGCAAACCTGCGGTGATTATGTTAGTTGACGCTGAGAAAGCATTTGACAACATCTCGTGGAAATTTATGAAAGAACTATTGGAAAAAATGAAGTTTGGACAAAATTTTTGTAGAGGAATAAGTGTCATATACGCTGAACAGCAAGCCAAAATAATTATTAATGGCAATATCTCAAAGGAATGCCAAATTAACAAAGGCACACATCAAGGCTGCCCCTTATCTCTTCTAATATTTATTTTGGTTTTGGAAATCTTAAATAGAAGAATATGAGAAGAAAGACAAATCAAAGGGATTATTCTAGGAGATAGGTCTTATAAAATAAAGGCATTCGCTGACGATTTGCTCGTAATGACAGAAAACCCAAAAGAGGGCTTATCAAAAATAATGGAAATAATGCAAAATTTCGGTGAAGTAGCAGGATTCAAATGAAATAAAACAAAAACAAAACTACTGGTTAAGAGCATATCAAACCAAGAAAAAGAAGAACTGGGAAAAATGTTTGGTTTGAAAATCTGCCAAAAAGCAAAATACTTGGGCGTTTGGCTAACTTCAAAGAATATTAACCTATTTTATGATAATTATGTAAGAACCTGGGAGGAGACCAAAATAAATTTGAATATTTGGGC